GCTCTGCGACACTCAGACACCCCCGATCCTTCTGTGACCCTGCGGGACCTGAGGCCATGCTGACCCCGCATGGGCTTCACCCTGGTTTATCCTCTGGAGTAATGTCCCTCAGTGGAGCATACTTTTAAAAGTCCCAATTTTGTGCTCTGTTGCTCGGCTGCTTGCCGGGAGCCAGCCCCTCTCCCCACGGTCTATCTTCCTGTCACCTGGATTCACTTTTCCGCAGTCCTACCTTTCAGAAAGTGGTTGATTTTCTGTTTCTAGAATTGCTGTTCTTCTCTTCGATCTACCTTTGGATTTGTAGGTGTTTGCAATGTTTAGATAAGCTATCTAGCTGATCTCCCGCTACCTGATGTAGTCTCAGGCTGCTACTTCTCTGCCATCTTGACTCCTCCCCTAAAACTGCTCTTTAAAAAAGTCTTAACAATACAAGGTGTGAGGGGCAAATGTTGCTCTTTTTATTTTACACACAGAAAAATTCAAAGTTAGAAATTTACATAAAATTATTTGCAATAATTTTGCAGATAATAAATGAAGTGGGATAGAAGAGCTTTTCAGACAAAGGGAATACTAGGGAGGGGCAGAAATAATTGCATAAAATTACAGGACTTATTTAGAGTATGATGAGTTACTGTGTTTCAAATCACAAAACAAACTGGCGATTTAAACCTTGGAAAATAGGTAACTAAATAGTTCAGAAGAGCTCCCCATGTACCTCACCAAATTTTGGGTTTTGAGCCTGACTAATAAAAGCTATAATGAAGCATTCAACCAAGATAGGATGTCCAATGCAGAAAAGATCCTGAACTTGGTGAATGTGATTTGAACTCAACAAGAAATAGAGTATACTGCTGAAATCACTAACCTAAGTTCCTTTTTTTTTCCTTTTCATTTATCACTTTCCCAAATAACTAATAACCAAATCAAGTAAGTGGCTTGTTTTCAATACCACTTGAATCAATGTTTTCTACTAGTACACAGAAAACCACTCTCTCAAAACAAACTCTGATCTTGTCGGTCTTGACTATTACAATACCTTCCTATATCCTTCTTTATTTTATTATCATTTTTTCCCATTTTCTTCACCACCACAGAGAACCTCTCTAAAATACAAATATGAGCCTTTCATTCCAATTCTTGAATATTTCCATTGGCTCCCCCTGACTTTAAGGATTAGGTAGAAGTGTTCTAACATGCTAACATGCTTTGCAAAACTCTTAATGATTAAGCTTTACTTTATCACCAACTTCATGACTTGCCACCTCCCCACATGCACATTGTCCAATCCCAAAAGCCCCCATTTCTCCCAACCTGCTCATGATAATTTGGTTTTGGATTAACTTTTCCTGTCCAAATGCTTTTCCTTATCATCATCTAAGCTCTTAGCCAGTGAGAACCCAAACTTTGAAGTAATTTGACACTATTCTCTTCCTCAAATTCCATTTTAAAAATGGTGTTATTAAGTCACACCCTTTCTAATGCCTTTATAAAGCCCTTGAGCTAATTGGTTCATTTTCACTCTGACTAACATGTATTTATTTCAGTTCCATATAATCTCATAGTTTACCAGTTTTATTGGTAGTTTTTTATTTAAAGGCCCATGGTTTCTCTCTCTGGACTTTGAGCCCCTCTAGTGACATACAAAGCCCTTCTGATCCAAGCCTGCCTGCTTTTCCATGCTCATATTCCACCCTCTTCCTCATGGATGTAGCAATCCAGCCCCTCCAAATTGGTATATTTTAGTGTCTGCACTTCATTTTCCTCATATTTGAAGTGCTGTCTCTCTCTGCTTTCTCCTGTTCACTCCTCACAAATTTAACGTCTTCCTACATATGCCTTCATGACGTATAGAATCAGCAATGAATCAAAATATGAATTATAAATGGTGTTAATAAGAAATAATATATATGCATAAATTATATTGGAAATCATGTATGAACTTCTATAGTTAGCAGAACATTTCTCACATAAAGAAAGATTAAATTTTTATTTAAAAAATAAACCTGCATTAAAATTCAGCAACTTTTGAGAATAATTTTCATTGCCAGAGCAATGACCAAGAATCCTCAGGAAAATATAAAAATATTGAGCAGATATAACTTCAGGTTTTTGATTCTAATACTGTAACTGTTTTTTCAGTAAGTGTGTGTGTGTGCACACATGTGTGTATATTAAAAATCATAATTATGCCTGGGTATCCTCTAGACTACTAAAATACTGTTAAAGTTTAATGTCTCTCAATACCAAATAAATGGATAATGTAGTCTATTGATTTCAAAATGTGTACCATCAAATAAGATGAAATGAAAAACTTTTTTTTCCTGATTATCTCTAGTCAGAGAAATATATTTTCTAAAAGCTAAAAATAAAAGCAAAAGCACTATAGTTCTTCCTAAGTGCCTGATGAAGGAATAAGTCCACTAAACATTCCCAAATATTGCAGTTAAGACTACATATTAATAGATTATTCACAGGAAAATTATTCATAGAGCTTCAGTGATATGTGAAAGTTATCTGCATCTCACAAATTACTCCATAAATACTTGTTAAATCTGTAAAGTAGATTATTCTCATTTTCCTATATAGGAAATTGCTGTCACAACTAAGTAGACTAATTTGCCAATACTCTCATTTATTCAAGACTATAATCCTTATGATCAGCCTATTTTGTAAGATGTCATATGTAAGCAAAGTAACTGTTCAAGTATTTCACTTATATTCATGAAAGAGTTTCTATTAAATCAACCTAAGAAGTTGAAAGGAATGTAAAAAGTGATATATGTTAACATGTAAGCCTGGATTTATAAAAGATTAGTCCCACAGAATTATTCTTTCTAGAGACCATGTAACATACATGATTGCATACAGTGCAGATTTGATCTTAGTATATTAACTTTAATCAGCTAAAAATATCAGAAGCTGCCATGATTTATTTAAAACAGAGAGGACAAATACGTTCAGGACATGCCTTAATTTATGGGGCATGAAGAAACAGTTATGATCATCAGAAGGCAGAAAGAAATGTGTATTACTAAACTTAAATTAGTTCTCATTTTCCATGGATGGTTGAGTTCTCTGGATGTTTTAAATGTCTTCCTCACTGCTGAATATCAAAATTAAAGCTAAGAAAGACATGTGAAGTTATAATATTCTTTTCATGCCATGCATATTTTTTTCTTGTCACAAATTCAAAAGAATGCTACTTCAAAGAGACAGACAATAGTTGTACTTTCTAAAGTCTTTTCATGTATTTTTAAGAGAAAACAAAAAAGTATATTTGAACACTTGCAGTTATCTGTTGAAAGGGGTTAGTGAAGGGTGTAAGAGAAGATTTCTCTAAAAATATCAATAACTTAGAAGCAGAGTGCCTTTGAAGTGAGAGCTTTAGCATGTGTCCACTTATAAGATATGGATTTATGTCATGGGAAGGCAAGGTGACACAGGTGCTGGAGTTGAGCGAGGCCTATGCTCTGTGGGGTGTCCTTTCTTTGTTTGAGGAAGTGAAATCATGCCTACTACCCACATATACCTAGTTACAAAATACAGAAGACAGAAAAAGTATTAAAGAAAAATATATAAATTTATATAATTTACAAAACCTTTGAATGCTGAACTTCAGAAGTTTCAATTTCTTCATAAATGGCTGAGATTTAAATACAGTTTGTGTGTTTCCAAAGTGTGTCATGTTACACAACAGAGTCATTCTCAAGCTCAAACCATTTGGCTGGCTTCCTTTCATTTTGAAAATTTTATCAATGATGTCCATTAAGCTCACATCTAAATATGCAAGAACTTCATACAAAAAAAAAAAAGTCATTAAAGCTGTAGGGAGCCAGTTTGAATTCTATAACACTTGGTAAGCAACTTAGGATGACATCATTTAATTTTCTCTACAACAATGACAAAAAATCAACAGAAGACCATAAGAATATTTATACTGGCCATGGATTTTATTTTATTTTTTAAAGATTTTATATATTTATTTGACAGACAGAGATCACAAGTAGGCAGAAAGACAGGCAGAGAGAGAAGAAGGGAAGCAGGCTCCCTGCTGAGCAGAGAGCTCGATGCGGGGCTCAATCCCAGGACCCTGGGATCATGACCTGAGCTAAAGGCAGAGGCTTTAACCCACTGAGCCATCCAGGTGTCCCTGGCCATGGATTTTAAAGAAAAGTTTGGTTATTGAAATGTACAACATTCACATAAATTCAGAGAAAATTTAAAGCTGAGGAGGAGCTATGAAACTCTTGTTCAAACCATCTTTGAGAAGAAGGATAAACTGAGGTTGAAGATAGTTTACAACTAACAAAATGCTCTAGCACATGACATCAGGCAATTTTGTATATGATGTTTAATGTTTGTGTGTCTTTTTTGTGGTCTTTCCATTGTAATTTAAAAAATGCATTGAAAAATGTAAAGGGGCCCCTGGGAGGCTCAGTTGGTTAAGCAGATGCCTTTGGTTCAGGTCATGATCTCAGTGTTTTCAGATTGAGTCCCCCATAGGGTTCTCTTCTCCGCCCTCTCCTCCCCACTCATGCTCTCTCTCTCTCTCTCTCTCTCCCTCTCTCCCTATCTCTGTTGCTCTCTCTCTCAGATAAATAAATAAAATCTTTAAAAAAAAGAAAAGAGAAATGTAAAGAGGAAATGATGTCAATGAAAGTAATAAATACACTTTTATGTATATTTTTATGGTAAACGGGGAAAATAAGCCTTCTAACATGACTTAGATATACTTCCATATATGTAACATATATTTTACAACTCAAATCTTCAAATTTATCTGAATCTCAAGATATTTTCTAGGAATTCAAAATTATATGTTTTCTGGGTTCATCTTTGGTGTTCCATTTAAAAACAGAAATATCCATAAAAATAAATAAGCAAATGTGAATTTGAAGCTGTATTTGTATGGTGTAAAAGCTTTCAACAGATAACTATTTCAACTTGCAAATAGATAAATGAGATGATGTTTGATCTGATTTGTTCTGACATGTCTGCAGGCAGAATGCTTTTCAAGTCATTGCTGTGGATGGGGTCTGCAGTGGGATTATTCAGTGCCTCTCTGCTGAAGACTGTGTTGACTGGCTACAAGCAATAGCAACTAATATTTCAAACCTCACAAAGCACAATGTAAGTAGTAACTCAAGGAATACCTGGACATAGAGTTTCTCAGCTGTGGCAAATTTCTTCAGCTTTACAACAACTAGTTGGTGCTTACCTAAAAGTGAATTTATATCCATCATGAAAGATATTCTCTAATAGTTACCTAAAGAAAATCACTTTATCTTGAGAGTTTTAACCTAGAGTACCCGTTTAAGAATACATACACATTTAAATTTGCATTCACAAACATGATAAACCATCAGCATAATTTAAATAAGTGAAAGTAAATATGTATATATGTAGATATACATACATATAAGTATAAAATTATTCTCAACTAAAGCAGTACTGAATTTCAAGATTCATTGACTTTCCTTTAGTGATTTTAGAATTGCAGCTGGAACTGTTTGAGGGGGATGAGAGGGGTAGGTGAGAGTCAGCATGGAGACAGACAGTCCCACCTGGGATGATGCTGGCACAGGATTGGTCAGAAGATGCACTGTAGATGCACTCTTAGAGTCATGTCTGTTTTATCAGGAATGGCTTCTCTACTTTTTCTCTATTTTTCTACTTCAACCTTTCTTTCCCCATTCTGATCTCATCATTATCTCTATCTTTTCATTATCACTATTCTTTCATAACATAATCAATCCTTTCTCCTTACTTCTAGAAGTATAGTCCAACAAAATATGCAAAACTAAAAACATCACTTCATTGAGTGCTGACATGAATCATTAAAAATTATTTGATCTTAATGAAAGATTATTTTATTTCAAAGACAATACTAGATACCATCCATACCTTTGTCTTAATATGCCCCTTCAGACACAACCCTTTTTATGCCATGTTGGAGCATTTCAGTCCCAAGGAAATTTCACAGGTCTATTATGTAAATGGTCAGGTAGAAATATGTAACTCTCAAGCTCATGAACATACAAAACTCTCCCATGTGAGTGACCCTTCAGATTCAAGAATCTATGCACAGATTCTGCTTTGAAATCTAGGAAAGAGCAAGGCCATGCACGTGTCTTCTGAGTCCATGTTGAAGGGATTGCTTGGGAGTTGAACTGACAGGGATGGGACACATTAGTATTCAGCATTTCTCGGAATGCCAAATATTTTTCATTCCATGGCTGCAGGTCTCTTCCTATAGATAACTTCAATACTTGGCAACATTGTGTGTTTTTAAATTTTGGTTATTTGGTATGTGTGAAATTATTTCTCATTGTGGTGCTAATGAAGGGAAGTAAATTTACTTTATGGTGTATAAATGGGTACAAATACACCAAGCCTTGCCCAGGGACATCACCCGACAAGGAGGCCTGGCCTGAGCATATCTGGCTTGAGCAGGAGTGACCCCCACAGCATCCAATCTTTGCCATCTTTTGGTTTCATCATATTGGAGTTACAGAAGATGAAGATGTTAAGAAATTTAGGACTGTTCCCACGCCCCCAAAATACAGTGTTCTCTGAGGATCATGACTTTCCTCATTTCTGACATATTTCTAAGGGATTTTCTAGGGATAAAGTACTATAAAAGTACTGACTTTCTATTTCATTATATGTAGTAATTAGAGTACTTAAACAATGAGCCAAGATAACTATATTAATGAGAAAAAAGTATTTTTAAAAGAACAGAATGTTATTCTTTGATTGACTTATTTTGCTTTGCATAACACCCTCTAGTTCTATCCATTTTGTTGCAAATAGCAAGATTTTTTTTTGATAGCTGAATAGTATTCCGTCGTGTGTGTGTGTGTGTGTGTGTGTGTGTGTGTGTTTATACCACATCTTTATCCACTCATCTGTTGATGGACATCTGGGCTCTTTCTACAGTTTGGCTATTGTGGACATTGCTCCTATAAATAATGGGGTGCAGGTGCTCCTTCAGATTACCACATTTGTATCTTTTGGGGCAAATACCCAGTAGTGCAATTCCTGGGTCATAAGGTAGCTCGATTTTCAGCTTTTTGAGGAACCTCCATGCTGTTTTCCTGAGTGGCTGTTCCAGATTGCATTCCTACCAACACTGTTAGAGAGCTCCCCTTTCTCTGCATCCTTGCCAACATCTGTCATTTTCAGACCTGTGAATTTTAGCCACTCTGACCAGTGTGAGGTGGATATGCTATGTAAACAATACACCAGATTAAAAAGATTTTTTTTTAATCTTGTGAAGAAAGAATGTAAAATATCCTATTTATAATTTTTATACTGATTACATATTAAAATATTTGAGTTAAATAAAATATTATTTAAATTTTAAAAAGGGTGTTAGATTTTAAATCCAAAGTTTTTCTCTTACCAGATCCAAATTTACAATGACCCCATATCCTAGGAACATTCTCATGAAAACTGTTTCTTTGGAATGTGTTTAGTTAGAATGCTGTGACCCAGAAGACAAGCATATGGGAAGAAAGTGAAGATGAAAATGTGTCTATTCTTTATAGGCATAGAGAAGAACAAGTCAGATTTTTCTGCTTGTTTTTCATCCTTGTGATATGTACTTGCCACAAGAGAGGAAAGCACTCTTATCCAATGCTGAGAAATCCATAGGTCTAGTATGATAATATTGTTGTATTAAAGTTATCTAGTTGTTCTTACACACCTTTGAGATTACATTCTAACTGCATGTCCTTTCATCTTGTAATCAGTTCTCACTCAAAAGGACTATTATTGCAACAAACTCCCACGTACCTATAGCACTACATAAACGTTGAAATGTCACTGGGCATAATAATCATATGTGAAAGTTAGATTGACTTCCCTGAGGAACAGTGGTTGCCCTGAGGATACAATTGATATGGTTGGTTCATATGGTGAAAGAAATTATACAGCTTGAGAATAGCTGGATGAGTTTTTTTAACAGAGGCAGATTATTCTAGTTCTCTTAATTTTTTTATTCTAAAAAAGATAGAAATAATACTTTGCAGAAGCTTATAGGAGTTTTTTTCCCTCTATATCTGCAAATACTTTGAGGGTACAAAAGCTTATGGGAGTGTAATTCTGAACAGTTTAACTACTATTAATAGGTGCAAAAATGAAAACATTGAGATGGATAACTTAGGAAATTTCACTTGAGATTAGCATGCATCAACATAAATTTGAAAATGAGATCAACTAGAAAATGCATATAAAATATTATGTTAACAAGTAAAAACAAACACCATACTATTGAAAAGACATAAAATGTATGCACTCCTGATTAGAAGGATAAAAGATATTAAAATTTTACTATTTAGAAACTATTTAATAATGAATGGTTTTTTAGTAATTGGACTAATTGGAAAATATACATAGAAAGTTAAAAGAAAGCAAACAAAACAAAACAAACAAAAACTCTATACTAGAATTACTTGAGTAATATGTTAACCACTTGCTAATTCTTTGATCACTGATTTCCAACAGTAATAATTCTGTTAAATAGGGAGATTTTCATACCTATTTTATGTGGAAATTCCATTGTATTTGTTATCTTAAAAACATTCTTTTTCTAGAAGGTCATTGAATATAATAGTTAAAAATATTTTGACAAACACTATTTCAGTTTGACAGTATTCAAGGTGACTTCAAAATATTTACAGAGCATTTAGTAATGGTATGTAGTAGAAGAGGATACTTCAGGGACTTGCCTTAAAGTCATGCTTGCACAGAAGCCCATTCATTCTACTTAAACTACATACTCACACATTGGAAAGGAAGGAACGGCAAAGGCTACAGTTTACTGGGCTGGGTTCCAGCAGGGCTAAACCAGGTCGCTGTGGACATTTGCTATTATTTTGCGTAAAGTAGACTTGAATAGATTGGTAAAGGTAAAACTCATGAATTGTAAAAAAAAAAAAAAAAAAAAAAAAGTTAATACTTTTAAATTCCCTTTTCTGCTCTTTATTGTTTTATCAAATCCATGATTAAATAACTAGAGAAAGTTATTAATTTTTATTTCCATGACCAAATCATATAAAAAACTGAAGATCTTAAATACAGTGACACTGTAATGGGATGAAACTCTTGGGAAATATTGTGGAGGGTAAATGTATTTTGCGTGTAGAAGGAATATGAGTAATTAGGGGCCAGCTGGCAAACTTTAATAGGTGAGTTTCTAAGATGACTCAAGTTTCTCTACTTCCAGTATACACCGTCTGTGCAATCCTTCCCCTTCATGTGCAGGCTGGATATTGAATTGAGAAGCAAATGCTTCCCTGTCAGAATTTCAGAAGACATTGTGGTTTCAATTGACCTGAACACAACCTGGTGAGAAACCCAGAGAGAGAGGACCCAGCTAGCCCCTCTGGATTCCTGACTACAGAAAATATAGGATAGTAAAATGTTTCATTAAGTCACTAAATGTTGTAGTTAGTTACACAGCAAAAGGGAACTGCATTTGTTTCCTAGAGCTGCTATAACAAATAACTGCAAACTTGGTAGCATAAAATGACATAACTTTATTTTCTCACTGTTCTGGAAGGCAGAAGTGCCAAATCAAGGTGTCATCAGGGCTGGATCTGGAGGCTCCAGAGGAGAATCTCTCCTTTCCCCTTCCAGCTTCTGGTAGCTGTTAGTGTTTCTAGCTTCCACGGCTCAGGGCCACAACACTATAATCTCTGCCTCCATGGTCACATCACTCTGTGTGCCTGTTTCTCCTTTATGTGTCTTTATGTGCTTCTTATAAAGGCACTCATCTTTGGATTTAGGGCCCACTCAGATAATCCAAGATAATCTTGCCCCAAGATCCTTAACTTAATTGCATTTATAAAGATCTCCTTTTTTTTTTCCAAATAAGGAAACATTTGCAAATTCCAGAAATTTAATGTGGATATCTTTTTTTTTTTTTTTTTTTTTTTTTTAGTGGTGGGAGCACAGTCATTGGTGTACTGCAAAAACTAATATGCCAAACAAACAACAACTTAGATTCAGACTTTATGTTCTGATTTATTTTCCAAGGTCGTGTGTCTAATATCAGCAGAGTTTTCAAATCTTTATTATGCATTTCATGAGAAAGGACCTAGAATTTCTTTCAGTTCATCCATGGA